CCCCTAGTCCGTTACCTGCCTATGTCCCGAATAATTCAGGAGCCCCCCCTCCTCTGGTTACCCCTTGCAAAATTACCACCCCCCTTTCAGGACAAGGAGGGAGTCCCGGGACTCCAACAGCGATACATGGGGAGGCCGTTCTAGCCGACCTCAAGGAGAGACGTGGTCGGTTTCGGCGATCACCTCCCCTGGGAGCCGCGGTGGACCATAAATGAATCCACCGCCATGTGAATCTAGTCTAATCGAAAGCTGGGTATGTGAATTTAATAGAGAGGAAAACGAGATAGAGTAGATCGCGCCCTCCCCCCACCCTAGAGTCTGCAAGGAACGCGACGCGAGACGACGGCCCACCGGACTTCGCCGAAATTTCTCCGAGGAGTAAATATCAGCTTCATCAGGGACCGGTGTTCGCGTTCTGGGTCTAAGTGCGCACCCATCCCTACTGGTCGACGCTCTCTCTCTCCGGCGTACCACGGATCGTTGCAGCGTGTGCCAAACGCCCCCGCGACCCGTCGACATATGTGTTCCAGGGTCGCGGTGTTTTACCGGCACGTGAGGCCTGTTTTTAGTAATGCCATACTATACGTCTGGCGCTTCGTTCGTAAAGAACTGCCTTCCAGATTACGATGTCCGTGGGGCTCGTTGGGCCGATGTCTCGCAAAGTCATGCTCTTCATGCTCCCGAGACTCGGTTTGCCAGTATACGCCCCGCTGTCCGGCATCGCAATCGGGCCCCGTCGCGTAAAAACTAATCAAGCGGGACGACCAGGCCTCCGAAGAGTTATGCACCTTGGAACGTCCCTGAACCCATTTTCCCTCGGGCCCGATTGAGCGATCCTGATGAATGGTGACTTTCCTCTGTTCCCAGAGCATCCGTTCGCCGATCCTCCAGGTCCAGTTGTTGACCTCGCGTCCTTACCCGCTATCCCGCCAGCTCTCCGGGACCGGGGTCCTTTGCCCACCGAACGTCCACACGGACAGGTGTTTGTATGTGCGCTTCGGTGTACGCATGCCCGTGCTGACGTCGGCGATCGGATTCCCCGGCATCTATCTTAATCTATTACCGAGGACGAAGGGGGAATTTGCATCTGATATTCCGTCCGTGGACGGATACCTCTACCTACTCTCTTCACGGACGGTCCTCAGGTTCCGGGCCCTTGCCACCCCCGGGCTACCTCCCAGAACCCACCCGGTCCGTTGTCCTCCGCGGATCCTGTGTCTGTCACCGCGATCCCCCCGCGCGGAGGTTACTGGTTCTTGTCCCAGTTTTCCGTCGTCCTGGGATCGCGGCGGGGATTGAGAGGCAAAATGCGGCTGGAGTTGACAGGGTTCCCCGTCTATCTTTTCCCCCGTGTTGCCTCTTCACGAGTGGTCTTCGGGGAGCGTGTCAGTGGGCGGCGACCGCCCCTTTGCTCGCTCCCCTCCCGACTCGTATCCCAACACCCCGCACGTACGGGCTGGATCCACGTTTTAGTCTACTTATTGGACATGAATCCTATGGCATCCTATCCCGTCGTCCTTGAGGGTTCCCAGTAGATGATCCGGTTGACCTCTCGGGGTCAGGGGGGGACTGAGAGGGAGTTTTGTGCCTGGGTAGGAGTCACCGAATCCTCCCGTCCTACACCCTTCCTCTTCACGGACGGTCTACATAGATCGAGCTTCGAGACAAACATTAGTCCCACTCTTTCTATTCCCAATCTGTATCCCTTACGTGCCATCCTCTTGCGAGGCCGGATTCACATCGTATATATGTGTACTTGGGTAATTGTGGCTTACCCTTTCTCCAGCTCCATTCCTTCGTGTTCGGCTGCTTCCTGCTTGTCCCGTACTCCTTCTCCTTTCCTCCTACGGTTGAGACCCTCCTTCCGCTTCCGCTTGCCTCCAGACCCGTGATTTTTCCAACGAGTAGGCAGACAAAGTCCACGATGATCTTTCGTAGCCTTATCTTCGACGATCGGTCCATGACGACCCTCCCCAATTTTCTCCATCCATGTTCGGCCGCTCCCCGCCCGTCCAGCTCCCCTTCTCGTTTCCTCCCGGAGTCGAGGCCCACCATCCGTTTCCGTTTGTCTCTGTTGGAAATACATAACTGAAAGTTATCATATATGTCGATAATATAGAAATGATCTATTGTAATGTAACTGAGCGACATCTGTACAATTAACTGATCGATGACATGCGTCTAGCATATACTTTAGTCGTAAAACCACACTCTAACTGTGAACACGTAGTATATGAATAAATATATCTTTTACCAGTTCATCCATTAAAAGTAAAGTTATATTCCCTCTCACATTCCACTATTCAACAGTCTCCGATCCGATGATTTCCCTAGTACAGATAACCCCCTTCTTCTATTCTTATTCAACGAAGGTCACCCTCTCTTTTGCATCCCTTCAGGAGTCGAGTCTCCCGACGGGATCCCAGGCGGCACCACGTGGAGGCGAGAGGGTGTGATTTTCGGGGCTTCCAGACTTCTCCGACCGACTATAACATACTTGTGAAATGTCGGATCCATCTTGGCATTCTTCCACCATTCCGGGGTGAAAAAATCCCCTAAATCTGCCGCCCTAGCTCTTAGCGAGCGCGAACAAAACTCTATCTCAATTAATACCTCACGGACCCATCGACATGCACCTCGCGATTGTACATCAAAAAGTGTCGCAGCGTTGTACC